CTTCACTTGTTTCTTTTACGAGTTGTTGTATGGTGCTAAGAATTACGATACTAACTGACGATGCCGACTACGATTCCAGCGAAACGTTTGGGAATGTACCACGTCCACGGTTCAACTTTAGCAATGATCATGCATACAATCGACTGCGGTCTAGGTGAGTTCGTTTAAGTCTTCCTACCAATATGACCATGTTGCGAAAACAAGGTCAAACAACTTTTATACCTTTTTAAAGACTTAATTATCCAAACAAATGAAGCTGTCACAGAATCCTAGTAGGAATATTTTTATTTAATACCCCTTTTTGAAATGGTATATTACAGCTGACTTGTTTTTACAAGGGTTATCACATTGCACAAATTTTTTACAAAGATCTTCTTTTGAGTGACCTTTTTACTATTTTTCACATAAAGTTTTTAATGAGCCATCCTTAATCCTTCGCACTATAAGGGCTTTCCTTGCCACCTTACATACGCATTAATCTCCCAACCCTAATTTAACAAAAAGACCAACCATGAATATTGCTCATCCGCCCTCTGGCCACAGTTAATAATTAAATTTTATCACTTATCGTGCCTACCTTTACAGCTACTAGGTCGAGAACTTTTAAATCAGCTAGAAGCTTGCATCCGAATCACTCAAACATTTTAGGTTGGAAGAATTCTAAACTTAGGACTCCTTCGGTGTTAACTTGTTCTCATTATTGCATATTACCAATGAGGGTTTGCAATGCTTGTTCATGCATCAGTGGTTTGCCTTAGATTTGGCCCATGGAAAGTCCTGATACTGACCTCATTTACAGTGAATCATTTAACCGTGACAATACCATATCGCCAACTGAGCTGGCTGCTATCCTCCTGAATTATGAGCATCTCTTCTAATGTGTACCATACTCTCTTATATTGCTCCTCTGAACGTCTGTATTTGAAATAGTAGCACCCGGTTGGAAGACCGTGTTATACTAAGGTTGACATCCAAAGCAAAGTCTTTCAACGACCTATTAGTTGCGTTCATATTAGCATCGCTTCATTCCTTGTCGTTTCCACTTTAACTATACTATGGTAGCAAGTTTTTTTAGTTTTCCCACTTCGCCTCTTATTTACCTTTATCATAAACATGAATTCAGCTATTTAAGATATAAAGACTAAGATTTTGTGGCCTCTGGTATGGTCGCAGTCTCCTTTCGATTTATAGAATTGGGTTGACCTCCTTGTCGCAACTTGGTCTTGTTGTCAGGGCGACTTAGTAGAACGCATCTAGTCCGAAGTCGTCTGTCATAGTAGTTGTCATGCTTCCCAGAATCAGACAGTCGACTTGGTACATTCTCAAACGTTTAGCCGGCATCATCAGTGAGCTTTGCCATTCGTCGCACAAAAAATCAAAAACATGGAACTTGAAGAAACAGACTTATTGGTAAGTTTCGATATGGAATCCATGTATACAAATATATCTGAAGAAAATGCGTCAACGGCCCTGCTGGAAATCCTAGACCGAGGATGATATCCTGGAATCACAACGGATCGGTAGGGAGTCCTTAACAAAGACTAATCAACTTGACAATAAGGACAACCTATTTTACATTCAACGGGAACATCTATGAACAAATATTTGGACTTCACATGGAATTGCCGCTCTCACTACTTTTGGCCAATGATTAGATGAACAAAATAGAAGAGAGCTTTGTGATGGCACCGCTACAAGTGGCAGTGCTCATGCGGTACCTGGATGATAACTTCGTACTTTGGTCACATGGAAGAGAAAAACTGAAAGAGTTTCTGAATAAGGAAACTGTCACGGAAATTCGGCGTTAAGGCTAAAATGTACCAGAAATTCACTTGAGACGCCACATGCGACCGGAGATAGGCGTCCAGAGTTTGCTCAGATAATATGGGTTCAATCAAGGTAGAGGACCCGTAAAGGGAAGGCCTGATATCTGCATAAATGGCAATCAGAGCTTAGGCGCTCTGCTCAGTGAGGTGGAAGTGTATGTGCTTCTAGGGCCTTGAGAAATAGCGCCTGGAGTGAAATGCACACAGGGACTGGAACCGAGGGAAATCGGTCAACCAGAAGGATAAGGAACGGATCTACGAGACAATGAAGGTATCCGGATTGGAGGCCCAGGTCGGATAAGCCGATAGAGTGAGGAGTCGGGGTAGATAGCAAGTGTGATGGGGCCACACTAGAATTGCTACAAAAGCGCACACATTTTGACAAGTGGAATGTAAACAAGTGAGAAGTTGTGATAGGGCGGCAATGGGATAAGATAGTAAATAGTAGATAGATAGGCCAAGACAGAAAGAGGAGTGATAGTGTAACCTTTTTCGGCAGAATGTTTGTCGAGTTAATGGCTTCACTTGCCCCTTTGACGAGTTTGTAGATTGCTGCGGCGAACGGCAAAACTCAGTGGTAATGCCAAATATGATGCTGGCGAAACGTTTAAGAATGTACCAAGTCCACTGTCTGATGCTGGGAATCGTGACAGCTACTATGACAGACGACTTCTGACTAGGTGCGTTCTACTAAGTCGCACTGGGAACAAGACCAAGTTGCGACAAGGGGGTCAACCCAATTCTATGAATTCAGCTCATTTACTTTTAACGCCTATCTATATAGCTTTAACATCGCATTCATTAGCTCTCAGGATAGGTCTCGAGATTAGTTAATCAAGTTGTAGTGGGATCATTTTAACTTTACTATTCTTATGGCCAACAATCTTGTATTATTCTTTTGTTTGTATAATTCAGACTTCTAGTAAGACGATTTTAGCCATTATTCTTACATTGAATTGTTTTTATCTGGAGATAACTTTAATGATTTAATAATTTAAAATTCATTTACTTTTCCTATATAACTCTATCACATATCTAAACTTCAAAATTCTTCTTTCATGCTAATAGTGTATAAAAAATGCCTATTTTTCACGTTTGTCTTAAATTATTTATCATTAATAGTTATTTTTTATTCTTTTTGGCCTAATTCATATTGGTATTTTCCTTCTTTTATCCTTCTTTATAAAATATCTAGATCTTGCCCAGCCTTTGTGGTCCGAGTGTTTGGAATACATTATTAGAGTCAAGTCTATGGCGCATGGAATGCTCCCGCTTCCTCTTTTCAGACCAACGGATTGCATATCTCCCTTAGGATTATCAGAATATTCTGGAATTGCCTCCAGCAGTTGCTATAACAATACTTTAGGGCCGCTTGCTAACGTTCAGGCGAGTACATTTTGGCTAGAGACAAACAAGGCCCTGGATTGTAAAGATATCGATGCCCCTTCATTGGCGTCTAGGATCGAGACTACTGCTAAAACTATCTCTGCAAATCAGACTGCTATAGAAAATATGGGGAGTCAAGAGGAAAGAGTGGATAAAGAAGCAAGAGAGATTGAAGGGCCTTTGAAGTTCAAAGACTGTTTTAGTCGCTTGGCAGGTAAACTTTCTCTTAACTTCATCAGAGTGGGGGCCATATGCATGAGCATAACTTCTACTGGTGGACTCTGTATAGCGTATAGCCCTCAGCAAACATCCCCAACTATGAATGGACCACTTCAACCTTGTGAATTAGGTGCTTCGAGCTCAGTCTGTAATCCTCAGGCTGATTACTTAACTAGAAAACTTGTACTTGGTCACTCCCGACGTGAACTGCTGGCTTGTAGACATCTAGAGTGTCAGGCTGGCTGGAACCCAGATTTCAAGCAATCCGATGAGTTTGCCTTCTCAGATGTTGATCCGGGTGATAGAGGTACCGCATCCTCTTTAACAAATCAGAGTGAATTTATTGACGAAGAAACCAAGAGGTTACTAATTTTCCCTACAACTACTGCTGGATTTAATCTTATGGACAACCGAATGAAATTGGTCTACAAATCTGGATCCTTTGGAAAAGAAATGGGCTATGAAAGGTAACGTGAAATTATACAAAATATCCACTTTCTTTTAATGAAACTAAGTGAATATTAAGTCCTTGCCAATTTTGGCTTGCAATTTACAAAAGAGGGCAATTAAGCTATTTTTGTGATTTTAACTGGACGTATGCTTTAAAGGAATGGATGTGACTTAAATATGTAGTAGTCTGGTTGTAATATCACGCTGAAAAATCCTCAACAATTTGCGATATCTAACTAAACTTAACAAAATTGAGAAAATTTATTTACTGCCAGCATAGATATACTTTTGACATTATTTCTATTTAAACCTTCACCCAAATCAAATCTAAAATCTTATATAAGTAGTACACATTTTAGTATGATAACGCCATTTTTATTCATTACTGCTGATCATAATGAGTTTAGACTTATTAAATTTGCTATTCTGCGAAATATATAAATTAGGACCGATTTAATCCCCTTAAAATACAGACCAAATACACTATTGTTTGGACTTTCATTTCATATGAAAGTGTATGAAGACGCGATTCGAGGGTCCATCTCTCCAGAAGAGGACAGTTGTATTCCGTTGTACTGCAGCCGTTCGGCTTTTATACGACGTTGAGATTGATGCAGTCCATGAGGCCTCCTCTTTTCAGATGAAAACAGACTGAATTTTCGTCCATCATATGATGGACATCATCAAGGCTGCGACTCACTCTTAT